ATAACACATCTAATCTAAAGCTCAAGAGTTTGGTCTCATTTAGTATTTGGAAACTTCCGAAACTATTTCTTTATATAAGTAGTCTATACTTACGGATCGATACGATATTGCATTCCATTTGTCACAATCTAATGAGCGATTCGTTTAAAGATTTACAACTTTTTGATCAACACTTTGAGGACTGTTTGGTTGACCACAGAAATAGTATCACACAAATCATAAGCGAAGAGCAAATGGTTATAATCAGAGAAACGCATACATACTTGACATCTAATTTTGCATTTTTATTACATCTGAAGAGCAATGCATTGGCCGGTCATTCACTCATGAAATTTGAATTTTAAAATTTATTTTTGTTAAATTAAGTGAATTCTTATCTAAATTACTAATAAATCTTACAATTAATTCCAGTTTAAGACATATTTTGTTAACAATCACTAGAACTAATACTGTAATGGTGTGACCAGTGCTCAGGCCTGACCACTCATTTCCGGTTTCTCCTTCTGAGTCCAACCGGAGGCCAACTTTTTGAGTTCTCCGATAGCTTTGCCGGGATTGAGATGTTTAGGACACGTTTTCGTGCAGTTCATTATAGTGTGGCAGCGATACAACGAAAACGGATCTTTTAGCCGATCTAAACGCTCCTGTGTTTTGTCATCGCGTGAATCAATGACCCAACGATAGGCCTGCATGAGAGCCGCGGGACCCAAATAGCGGTCACTATTCCACCAATAACTCGGACACGATGTGGAACAACAGGCGCACAAAATGCATTCATACAATCCGTCCAATTTATCCCTATCTTTAATGCTTTGCAGGTTTTGTTTGTGCACACCTTTGGTCTCGTTGTTGCTCTGAAGCCACGGCTGAATTGATTGGTATTGTTTGTAGAAGTTATTCATATCCTATTCAAAAACGCAATGATATTAATATTGTTTAACAAAAGCTGTGTTCGTAATGACTGACTGGCACTAAATCCTTGATCACATATAAGTGCGGCAACGGATAGATTTTGGTTGCATTACTCGTGTTGTCATCGATTTTGCAAATACACGCCAATGTATTTGTGCCGCCGATATTCATAGCACAAGAGCCACATATGCCCTCTCGACACGAGCGTCTGAATGTGAGGCTCGGGTCCATCTCGTTCTTGATCTTAATCA